ATATTTTGCAAGATGTAGAGTACGCCACTTTTTTCAATGCAAATCTAAACAATATTTTGTAAGATGTAGAGTACGCCACTGTTTTCAATGCAAATCTATATAACATTTTGTAAGATATAGAGTACGCCACTATTTTCAATGCAAATCTATATAATATTTTGTAAGATGTAGAGTTCGCCACTTTTTCTAATGCAATTCTAAAGAATATTTTGTAAGATGTAGAGTTCGCCACTTTTTCTAATGCAACTCTAACTAAAATTTAGGAAGATGTAGAGTACGCCACTTTTTTCAATGCAAATCTAAACACTATTTTGTAAGATATAGAGTTCGTCACTTTTTCTAATGCAATTCTAAAGAATATTTTGTAAGATGTAGAGTTCGCCACTTTTTCTAATGCAACTCTAACTAAAATTTAGGAAGATGTAGAGTTCGCCACTATATTCTATTAAAATTTAATCGATTTTTAGAAATTTTTAGAATTCGTCAATATAGTCTGTTGAAATCTAGTTGAGCTTTGAAAGGCAAGAAATTCGAAAGATTAAACAACATATGTTGTTTGAATAGAAGTTAGTTTTAGTCTTTCGATGAAGTTATTGATATTTTTTACCCTTTTGATAATCTATTATCGTAGAGTTTCTTATATCAACTATTTGTTTTGATTCTGATCTTTAGTAACAAGATCTGTTTATTCACAGAAAGCTCGATAAATAGATTTATGTGGACATAGTCTTTCTTACGATTCAATATAAAATGTTATCAACAAAAACTGCAATAAACATTAATCTCTCGTAAAGTCATTTGTATGTGACCACTGTAAGAATAGCAGATAGCATATAATCAATCACAGATGATTCACTAATCAATCAGCAGTATGCCTGAAACACGCTGCTATGGATTGATAGAGTTCTCTCGTTCATAAATAGCACAATATCTACATCTAAACTTTGATCGTTCAATCAAAAACAGCTAAGCAAAAAAAACGCCCACCCGACCAAAAAAAGAAAAAAAGGAGGAGGATTAAGATTATGTTTATTTCAATCCTTTTTCATATCTATGTTCATATACTTCAAGAGTAAGGTTATGCTTATTCTATATGTTTAGAATTTTAGTGTAAGAGATAGATGTTTGAACGTTCAAAAACGAACGTGTTGGCAATATAGATAATATTGGTTTTTGTAATATTTTCTTTTTCGACATGAAACACAAAGTATTATAAAGACTTTTAAAAGACGTTAATTATATTTCTTGTAATTCATCGATAACTGTCTAGGGATTTATTGCATCATGCAGCAGTCATTTGGCGGAAAAACAAAGAAAATTTGTCAACAAATAACTTTTTAATTTCTTATGATGCTGAAGAAAAAAGCGTAGTTGTTTAATAAAATATTCAGCTACTCCTGTATTCTAACTGATATGTTTTGAGCAAGAGCTAAAAAAACAAAAATTCGTCAACTAATACCTTTTTGATCTCTAACGATACTGAAGAAATAAGCGTAGCTGTTCTATGATTGCTCAACCATCCATGTATTGGAACTGATTTATTTCGAGCAAGGGCAGAAAAAAAAGAAAATTCGTCAACTAATAACCTTTTAATTTCTAATGACACTAAAGAAATATGTGTAGTTTTTTTAATAAATACTCTGGTACTTATTCATTCGAATTATTTCGAGCAAGGATCATTTCAAGCATTGAATGCGTCTTTTACCTGTTTATAATAAGTTATCAAATCGATTAAGATATGGATGAAAATGCTCAAATAGGTACGACGATTTTTATATAGCGGTAGACTTTCAATTGCTGGTTACCAAAAGAAGTCCAATACGAAATTTTGTTACAAGTGAATTAGATATTAGAATCATACAATAGCTGTATGCATTTTATTCCAAATAGCTTTTTTAGACAGCTATGATAATGTTTAAATTGCGATAGATTTTCAATAGCTAGTTACATGAAATACTGCTATAATCGAAAAGTTGTTACAAAACAATCAGGTATTTAAATCATTTAGTAGCTGTATATTATTTGAAAAAGTATCTCGTTCGAGAAGCTTCGGTTTCAACATGAGTACGTTTCTAAACATCTTTCAACGCATCATATACTAATACTAGTTAATTAAATTTTGCATCACATAGTAAAATTTTCAAGTCGGTATTTTGTACGACAAAAGAAATGCTACACCAAGATATAAAACGTGAATCGAAATCTGTTGAACACTTATTCATAAGGCGATGAAGAATAATCTTTTCATTCATGGGTTGTATGATTACTATCTTTTCTCGAAATCTGATATTTAAAGATTTAAGATGTTTACTTGCTTGTTCATAAAACTGTTTTCGAGATTCAACTTCTGATGTTGAATGAGAAGTCATCACTGTACTTATGATACGATTAAATACGTGAAAAAGAATGCTCTGCTTTTTTATTTAAAGTTTATGTAAACGAATAGTTATAGTTTTTCTATTGACAGTTAGATTAACAATCAATAAAAAACATTTCTCTGTTTCGCGCCTACTAAAACTAATTTTGCCTAAGTTTAATTTTGCCTAAAGTTTAATTTTGCCTGGGACATATACATAACAAGGAACTTTCGTTTTGTTTCTACGGATGATTTATGCATTGTATAAAACACGCATCATCTTTGCTAAAAGATAAAAAAAAAACATCTCATTTATGTCAGTCTATCCAAATCATTTGAAAACGATGCGGTTTTGCTGAATCATCTTTTAATTATTGAATACATTGCCTTGTTAAGCCAATGATCATGACTATGATAATCCAATAGTTTGGCTTGAATAGAAGAGCAGCATTAGTTATGGCCGTACACGAACTCTTAATAGCTCCATTGATTGTTACGCATGCCGAAGGATAGTTCGATGTACACAGTGAACGCGAACAGTCGAAGCAATCTGGTACTTCAATGTTTCCCACGTGTATAGCCGTGCAAAATGCACCACTACAACACTCACATTGGCACGTGAAGCTATTAACGTGATTAATAATAAACAAAAACATGAAAAGCATTAACATGAATAATGAAGATAATTTCATGGCTCAAAACGATTGTTATTGAACTTCTTTCGAACTGCTTATGAGTTGTTGCGAAGAATCTGCACGACTATTTATGTTTGCCAGTATGTTTTTGTCTAACTTTATGTGTCTTGTAATCGGATTCGAAGCTTTTCTTTTGCACAATCTCTTGTCAAGTTATTTTGTATTAATTTCAAAAGCGCAGTTCGATATTCTAGAAGCGATTTTTAATTACTAGTTTAAACCGTTGGCAAAAGCAAGATCGAAGCGGTATCAAATAAATATTGTTGATTTAGATTTCTAGTGGTTCTCTTTCAATATAATGAAATGTGTTCAAGATCGAATTTCTCGTTATTGATTTTACGAATCGAGATATCATAGAGCGATGTTGATGTTATCAGCACACTTATAAATCACGGTGTATCGAACGGTTTTGAAATGTAATTCATGCCGAAACAAGGAGAAAAAGATCTGATGTTACTTCAAAATGCTTTATAAAAGAAAGTTTGTGCTCTGTACAACACGAAAACAATCGCACTCTACAGAGCCATTGAAAGTATTCGTCACACATTAAAAAAAAGGATATAACATGCGGAATTCAAAAAAGTTCCGATTTTTGCAACCAAATCGAAGCCTTTTAAATGTTTCATTGAGATCCTTTTATCCTTCCTGAAAAATAAAGATTTTGACTATTACGTTCAAGACAATACCTATTCCATTTATGCATCGGTGCTCAAACACCTACTTTATCTATCTATATTTCCAGCTGACTATTCAATGCGTACCTATAATCCTGTCTATCTATTTCTAACCATTTAGCATTCCAAAGGTGCGGATGTGGGTCTAGATTTTGGAGATCTTGTCTGTCTCAGTACATTTGATTTCAAATCAGTGAGTAAGGAAACATTTGATTCTGTCATTCAACAACATGATCCAAAACGATGGCGATCATTACATCTTTCCCGATGATAATGACACACCTGACCAAATCGCAATATTTTATCCACATTTTCCTCTCATTCAATATCTTCTTCGATTACAATCGCTAGCACGTATCAATAGAAAAATGATTGATTCATATTTTTTCATTACAAACTTCATCATTTGATTATTTTGCTTTACTCCGGTTTCTTTGCGGCTTGAGTCGAATCTGGTATTGTTCTTGCGTCTCATCCATTCGATTGGATCGAGTTCGTTCTTTTTGCTTTTCAAATCATATTTAATGTTGTTCATTTGTGTCGTTCATTAGGGTAGACCGAGCTCGCTCTTTTTTTATTCTCAAGTCCAGTTTAACATTGTTCTTCTATGTCATTCTAACCTTTTTGCATTGCACCTAAATTTGTTTCTTGTGCGGAGACAATTTCTATGTTGTTTTCATTACGTAAATTTCTGCTAGGAAAAAACTGGAAATCAGGAATTTGTATTTGGATAGGAGCATATGCAGTAAATCTGGGAGGAAATATGTAACGTATCAGAGAATAAAATTTGAATAGAAACAAAATTTCAGAATGATTCTATAATTTTGGTCAACACTGCCGATGTGAAAAATTTTCAGAACTTAAATACATTCATACGCAATAAATGTTGCATCTAAACCGCATCTATTTTGCGTTTTGCGTCTACATGGATGCATTGTAGGATGAGCAAAGTGGTTACTTGAAAGGAGAACTTAAATTCAAGTAGCTGCCTTTGTTTGTGCATTCACTTTTTTCTCGAGTTGTTTTCATTGAAGACGAACAAGAAACACGTGGAGCAATGTTATGATTGAGTTATGAAAGAAAAAAAAAACCATGAGAACACCTGCTGTCTTTTTTTCTCTTTGCTTACGAATAGAAACAAATTTATAGTTTGTTCTGTTCTTTATCATCGAGAAATAGTGCACAGTAAGCACAATATTTGTTCTCTTCGTCCTCAACGAACATTATATCACTGGGAATTTCCCAACTTTCTATTTTCTTCGACTTCTCTTATATATGTTCGTAGTATAAAAACAAAATACATTTGTAATTTTTTGATTTATATTTGTTATTTCAAAACAACTGCAATGGAATTATCGAGACACGGCTACAATCATATAAGGTATGGCTTGATAAAAATATTGCTTCACCAGAATGTTGCCATGAATTAAAGAAAGCATTTACTACAACGACAAATCCTGAATCCAATCTACAAACATCAATTAACGAAGTGGATATTAATAATTTTATTTGTGATGACAAGGCACAACGCGATACAAGTTTTCTTGACGTACCATTTCCATTTAAACTATTTGATGACATAGAGCCGTGTCTTACTTATCTTCTTGAAAATGCTGGCAAGAAACGTATCTTCTTTATTACTTCCGGAGCACTGGGAGAACACATTGTACCACGTATTCTCAATAATCATCGGAAAATTTTTGCAGATAATGATGGTAATATTTACAAGGATTCTATTTACGTTTTTTGCGCTAATGTCGCCTATCATGGTCAATGGGCACTAGACTATGAAGAATTAGATTGTATCAAAATGGAAAATGACGATAAAGCAATTTTAGCTCGTCTCACTCGTGATATTGCTAATTATTTGAAATCGAAAGGAGAAGAAGAGTTTTCCAATGACGACAATTCATCTTCTGTCGAACTAGCAATACAATATTTTGGTTGGGCAAAGAACCTCTATGAACGAGCCGATAAAGTAAGGCGAGCATATGCATCTAAGGATCCATTAAATCCATTAAATATTATAAATACATTGATTGCCACTGCAGAACGAAAACTTCGTGACCTACAGGTGCCGATTACTGAGAGTGACGATGATATGGTGGTGGGCGTAGAAAACTAATTGAACTTGATATTTCCTTCAAACTATCTTTAATAGCCAACTTTTTCGAAGTTCATAATAGAGTTTTATTAAACACAGTAAATTTGTGAAAATAAACGAAAGATAACATGAGCAATCACCTAACTACTGCTAAATTCTTCTCAGAGTAGAGTGATCATCATTAAGAAAAATCTCAACTGATGATAGATAATGAGACAATATGTTTTGAAAAATTCTTTATTAAACACTCCAAAATGTTTGATATTTTGGGTGTGGATGTGGTTGTTCTCTAAATTTGTACTCACACCCCATTGATAAATGGAGCCATCTTACATAAACATGGCTATTTTGATTACTAATATGAAATCATATACAGATGTCAATAATATATCTCGTAGGTAACTTATGTAATTATTAATCTACACATACAATTTTTCGTTTTATCGCTGAGACACACGAAAAAACAGTTGTCGCATAATATACCCTATATGTACGGCAGTGAAGTTGTGTGACACTTCATATTTCTAATGAATTTGCATAAATGAAAAGCAAGCAATCATGTGGTACACAATAATATATATGCTTAGTATTCATTCGTCGATAATCTAATGTTGTAATGGATGGTCCAGGTGAATCGGGCGGAGTATTTATCAAACTATAGCAGAAATAACCTCCGTTACATACGGCACTACATTGATCTTTACAGATCATCGTGGTACTGGTTTATTAACTCTGTTAAGTTGTGATGATTAGTTTTCTTAAACTGTCACATCTAATGGCATGTCGTATTTAACGAATCGATGAACTGTTGAAGGATTAAATCAATTTTCAATTACTTCAACTGCTCATGATTTATCAATACAAATTCAGGCTTGTCAATCGAAGAATCGACTTGCCATCTCAATATGAAATTAATTCCAATAATATTCGATCGGCAGCACGTTACTTTGATTGAACTGTTATTCTGGCATTCATATTTCGACTCAATAGATGTAATCAAGAAGATGTAGTCGTGTTGGATTTCTTCTTTCAAACTCAAGGTTTCTCAACATTTTCCTTGAATAGTACATCATCAAATGATGAAAATTTAGCATTGCTTTCTACGAACTTTGGCTTAGCTTGAATCAATCCGAAATAGATCAAGAAACATTGAATACTTTATACAATGCCATAATAATGTCTCGAGAAGATTCCCCTGATGTGATCGCATTGAGATCAGCTTGACCAACACATTCATTGGATTAGTATCAGTATTGCATTGCTAATTCATCAGTACTCATAATTGCTGAATAATTGGATCTTGCGACGCCATTCGATTTAGCTTCTCATCTAGCAACAATAACGACGAAAACTCGAACATGGTATTTGATTCCATTAGTTGGACATGTCATTGTATCGGTTGCCTCTTTAGGTTATTCGTGTCCACTACAATTAATTCCTTATCCAAGCGAATGGGATGATCCAACATGTATTCAAGATCTTCCAACAAGAATTGATTTTATCGGTGCAACTGTTCATGGTAAAAGTGCAGCCAAGCAGAGGTTTTTGATATCGTACTTTCGACCAATCAGATTCTGTCAGGCTGAAAGTTCAGCCAATCAGGGATTTTCCCTCGACTGTAGAGATGGTCCTATGAAATAAAATGTGTTTGTGGTTATGTATGTGCCAAGGTCAAAGGTCAAAGTGAAAAAAAAAACATCAGAGGTGAAGTTCATTTAGTCGTAACTTCTAAAGTTTCACCAAAGGTAATCGAGGTCAGGAAATCCGAACCTTAAGTCACGTTTTACATCCGGCCATCCCATTAGCTAGAAAGACCAATCAGAAATGAGCTCTTTTATTTTAAGCTTTTTGGGCCTTTTGATGAAACTTTACCATAGGTTATTGAGGGTCAGGATTCTTAATCTGAGGTCGGATTTTATATTCGATCTTCCCATTGACTAGGAAGGCGACCAATCAGAAATGACCTTTGTCATCTTAAGTCTTTTGCCACTTTTGATGAAACTTTACTATACGTTATTGAGAGCCAGGATTCCGAATCCGAGGTCGAATTTTACATTCGGTCTTCACATTGGCTAGGAAGGCAATCAATTAGAAGTGAGCTTTTTTATTTTAACCTTTTTGAGCGTTTTGAAGAAACTTTACTATAGGTAATCAATGGCCAAGATTGTGAATCTGAGGTCGGATTTTACATGTTAAAAAGGTTGACGAAAGTAAATTGGGGTCGGGGAATCCGAATTTGAAGCCGTTTTTTCAAAATTTTGAAGTTGATTTTTTTCGGTCAGAGGTTACACTTTTTGAGAAAATAACGATTTTTCATGAGGCTTAACCGAGGGTGACTGAGGTCGGGAAAGTTGAATCTGAAGTCCATTCTTCAAAATTTTGAGTTTGATTTTTTCAGTCAACGAAAGAGTTTTTCGAGAAAATAACGGTGTTTTAGAAAAGTTGGCGAACTTAATCGGCGTCGGGACATCCAAATCTTTACTATATTGCTGGAAGTTTGCCGCTATAATTTTACAATCAGGGTAAGGTTTTTTTTAAGGAAACAGTGAGTTTTCGGTGTATTGAACATTGAGTCGTATGAAATAAAATGAACTTGTGATCTGGCAGTGATTGGAAGAGTAACGTATTCAGATGTGTTAGCGGAATTACAGGGTCGACTATCTCACTAGCGTAAACTATATCTGACGTTTTTCCACAGTGTGGG